GCTCCTGCAGGCTGGAGCCCAGGATGACCCACGCAGGAGGTATGGTCCTTGCGGGGATTCAGTAGGTCAAGAACGATTAATTCCAGAGCAACTCTTTGTAAGCGAACAAAGTAACCACAGCTTGGTGTGGCTGTTTGTGCCATCGGATTAGCCACAGGGCTAGGCGTTTGGCCCAGTGATGGGGAAACAAGCGGAGCCTGTCCGCAGCTCTCCTGCGTGGCCCCTCTGGAGCCAGCAATGCCCGGGCCTGTCCAACACCCACCGATAAGTGTGCCGATGGCTCTCCTGCATAATGCCGTGGGGTGCAGAGCCCAGGAACAGAATAGCTGCCTGAAGACTATCAGCACATTTTCTCCACCCAGAAATATTTGATTAGGTGAATACGCTTCAGCCAGTTAAAGTGACTTAAATCATCCCAAATGCCTGTAAGTTCTACCTTACTTGTTTTGTTATTGGCTCATAACAAGAGAGCGCTGATATGTTAAATGTTTCCTAAGCCAAAAAAGAAGAAAACTAATCCATTCACTGCAGCCTGAATACCTTTGATTTATGAATCTCTGATTCATCCTGACAGCTACTTAAAAATTCATGTCAAACTCTGCGTTAATCTTGGCCAGAAAAAGAAAAGAAATGCGTTAGGTAACAAGAGTGCCACAAAATGCAGTTACCGTTGTGGGTGTGTTTAATGAAAGGCATCGTTAGCGTTTAACTCGCCAGAGAAGCGTGAGTACTTATTACCAGATACCTTCTCTTTTTTGAAGTCTGTTGAACAAATGTGTACATGGGCGTAGAAATGCATCTCTAACATTGATGTCTCATTACATTATTTCCCTTCTTTAATGTGTAGAGTTATGATGTATGTCAGAGCTTCTCTAGTGTCGTTAGATCCTGAAACTGAGATAATACAAACATTTTGTTTTATAAGGGAGGAAAGGGAAATAAATTACTTTCTCTTTTTTTGTTATTTTCTTCCCAATATTAAGCTTATTTGAGATTAAAAACTTAGCTTAATTACTTGATTGATCAAACAGCATTGTATATAGTGCCCTGGAGAAATTACCATAAACTCAATCAGGAATTTTTTTTTTAACATTTTATTATTATTTGTTGGTGATTTGGTTATTTTTTTTCCAAGAATGCTTCATTACAAATGGTAATGTTTTCCAAGAAAATAACTAGATAGCCTGAAATTTGAATATATTAAGGGTTTGAATAAGTAAAAGCAGCTGCTTTTCTCTTGCAATAGCTGTGTCTTCTGCTTTGCATTTCTAAACACAATTTTACTTAGCATACATCCATGGCAATTTACTTAGTATCACAGACTGGTTTGGGTTGGAAGGGACCTTATGAGACCATCTAGTTCCAACCCCCCCTGCCGCGGGCAGGGACACCTTCCACCAGACCAGGTTGATCAAAGCCCCATCCAACCTGGCCTTGAACACTTCCACCTGGCCTTGAACACTTCCAGGGATGGGGCATCCACAGCTTCTCTGGGCAACCTCTGCCACTGCCTTACCTCCCTCACGGGGAAGAATTTCTTCCTAATATCTCATCTAAATCTTCCCTCTTCCAGTTTAAAGCCATTGCCCCTCGTCCTATCACTCCATTCCCTTGTCAAAAGTCCGTCCCCAGCTTTCTTGTCAGCCCCTGTAGGTACTGGAAGGCTGCTCTAAGGTCTCCCCGGAGCCTTCTCTTCTCCAGGCTGAACAACCCCAACTCTCTCAGCCTTGCTTCACAGCAGAGGTGCTCCAGCCCTCGGATCATCTTTGTGGCCTCCTCTGGACTCGCCCCAACAGGTCCATGTCCTTCTTGTGCTGAGGACCCCAGAGCTGAAGGCAGTACTGCAGGGGGGTCTCACCAGAGCAGAGGGGCAGAATCCCCTCCCTCGACCTGCTGGTCACACCGCTTGGGATGCAGCCCAGGGTTTTTTGAAGTATCTTAACAGGCCCTAGGCCCAAGGTGGTGGTAGACCCAGTAGACCATCCTGGCAGAGTGGTTAAGGAGGCGAGGGCCAAGAAGGGAGGCATGTGGCTGTTTTGTTTCTGCCGTGGACTGAAGCCAGGAAGCTCCGCTGTAGCTTAATCAGAAAGGGCAGGTGATAAAAAACAGGAATGAGGTTAAATTTATGCAGGAGATCACAAATTTTTTCTCCATCTTTTTCATTACTTTACCAGCAAAGAAAGATAGGACCTTACTGTGTAATGCTGGTTTTATTATTACAAAAATATTCATTTCATAAGTGAGCAATTGAATGTGATTCTTTATTTACAACATGTCATATCTGGCCTGTGCCCATTATTTACAGTTCTCCAGAAATTTACTAAACTATATTCAGTTGAATTAAACACAATTGAACACGCTGTTCAAGTTTTTAAAGATTCAAGATAATGAAACGGTTAAGATACTACCTATATTTTCTACTGAATAAAATCTACCATTTATATAGGCTTTCAGGTAACATCACTGATACAGTGTCCTAGATCATACTGAAGACAATGTTAAGAGGTCAGTGAGTGGGTCAGAATGCTGGCTTTTGAGAGGAGTTGTTGAAATTCATTTCAGTATTTTTGGCTGTGGGATTTTTCACTATTGATTCTTTTTGGCTATGTGTGAGGTGGTTGCTTTGGTTTTCTTGTAGAGTGATTAAATTACTTTTTTTTTTTTTTTTCTTTAAAGAAGGGGAAGAGAACAAAGGCAGGCATGTGGACAGCTAAGCGCTGCTCCAGACAATTTGTCTTATTGACTGCAGGAGAATTACTGGCATGGCACCAGTGCCCTTCTCAGCCACTTTGAGACTTGGCAAATTCTCCCTAGGCTGTTATGGTAATGTTTGCATTAGCCTTTTGTAATAAACAGGTATCAGAAGAGTTGCAAAGGTAGATTTATGTTGGCTGCTGAGGGTGGGTTCTTACTAGACAAATAAAAGGAAATAGCTGAAAACTGTTAATGCTTTATGGAAGAGTATCAGCAGAAATGCTAAGTTTCCTGTCATGGATATCTAAAACTCTTGACTTAGCCAAACTATTGATTTCCCCCTATTCATTGACTGGCCTGTTCATAATTAGGAAAGTGTTATGATGGAAAGCCTCATGACAGGAAAAGTGGTGGTGTTTGTACTTCTACTCCAAGACTTGAGAGAGGAGGGTTCAGTTCCCAGCTTTGCAGCAGATTTCTTGTGTGAGTAGCAACAATCTGTCACAGCTGTTTCAGTATCCAATTGATCCAAGCACCCAACGAATTTGATGAAGTTACCACCATGGTTAGCATTTTCCATTGAACACCACCCACCTGTCTGCTTCGATATATCCAAAATCCTGCTAGATACCTCCTGGTTTTTAGCATCTTTGTTTTTTAGCATCTTTTAGCATCTTGGTTTTTAGCACCTTTGAAAACCTGTTTTATACCTCCCAGGGGTTTTCGGTGGAGAAATGTCTGAGCTGGACCACGAGGACCAGGGCACAGTGCTGCACCGGTGAAGCTTGGGTTGGATATCAGCTCGGAGGGGGGATGCTGTTGGAAACACGAGTCGCCCTCTCACGTCTTCATTCGCGGCCAAGCAATTCCTTCCCACCTCCACGTGCGTCCCAAGGCAGGCAGCACTTTGTCCTCCTGCCACAGTAAAAATACAGGTAGCTGTGGAGTTAACACCATGCTGGCTGATTTCCTAGGATTTCAGCTGAAATTCTGAAACCCCACCCCAGTATCGTCTCTCTGACTTCAGACACCCCCGGTTTCTACCTTTCTTTCTAAATGCCAGTTTGTGGTCGTTTCATATGCTGTTGTTTCTAGCACGTTTCTCTATTAAAATTCACCTTGTTTGTCCTTAGCCACTTTGTACAACTTGGGATTTGAATATTGCAAAACATATCTTAGGTGTAGAAGTTGTCTACCTACTTGTTTTGTGAAGTGAAGAACAGAATATCCCTAATATTAAACTATAAAGCAGTGGTAGTTTATTTATAAAACCAGAAAGGGCATTTAACAAGCTACCTGACCCCAGATAATTTCGGACTGTATTTGTCATGTACACAGGCGACATAAAATTATGAAAGGAAAATAGTTTCAGCAGTATGTGATGCAAGTGAAATGGAATAGCACCGTACAGACAGGAAAGCTGGTGCAGAGTTGAGGCTCGATAGATTGGTGGAGGGCCCATTTCACAGGATTGTGGCTTCAGAAAGATTGATGAGACTGTAGGAAACCCCTGCCCCATCCCATTAGTGGATGCCCTTTTGCCACCCCAGCTGTACTGACTTGCGTCCTTGTGCGGCCATTCTGCAAACTGATCTGGGCTGCAGTAGCATTTTTTTGTGGAGTAAAACAGTGCTCTTGACTTTAAACTTCTATCAGTTGGCAAGTCCAGCTCCCAGCAGGGGCTCCCCGGCATCTGCGTGGGCTGGGGCTGTGGGGAGCCTCTGGCAGCGTGGGGCAGGGAGTGAGCTGGGAATGTGTTGAGCTGCTCTTATCCCTGCAGGCTTCTCCCGTTGCCAGCCCCCTGGGCGAGGGCAGCGATGCTTTGGCACATTCAGGTTGTGAAACCATGTGGGGATCTGTGATTGAAAGTATTTCTGGTCTGAATGTGGGATTTGGAGGGGCTTCCCTGCACTCGTGACCCTGCAAAATGGGCTATGATAAATGTGTATGGAGTGTTGGATGGAAGGATGCTGGCTGCAGCACGTCTCCCTCTCTGCAGTGCTTACAGCAATAGCATCTAGATAACCCTCAGTAGTGCTGGAAATGTGTTTACGTCAACCCATGAAACACATTTTACATATCTCACCAAAATTAGTTTATAGAAACACAGTGTGTAACTGGTTCCAGTTAAAACCTTCACCAGATCAACCTGACTTACCTCTTGGTGAAAATCAGCAGGAGGAAGGGGAGCTTTTTTGTTACTGTTTTGTCTTTTTTTTGGACCTTGCCACATCCTATTGTCATTTTATTACATGACGATCACATGTTTTACTTAAGGTTTCTTTTCTCTCTCTCCTGTCTGACAGGCCTAGAAGATGTTGTAGCAATAATGATTCCTGAACCCAAAGGAAAAGAGATAGTGAGCCTCCTGGAGAGGAACATTACTGTGATGATGTACATAACTATCGGGACACGCAACTTGCAGAAGTACGTCAGCCGGACCTCTGTGGTATTCGTCTCCATCTCCTTCATTGTGCTGATGATCATCTCGCTGGCATGGCTGGTCTTCTATTACATCCAGCGATTCCGCTACGCAAATGCCAGAGACAGAAATCAGGTGAGCGGTGCTGGAATGGCTGTTTGCATTTCCAAAAAGTCACCGTGGGATTCAGCTTAAAAGTAAAAGTTGAGGAAATTGTGAATGTGTGGTAGAAAAGACAAACCAAAACAAAAACCAAGAAAGTGAAAAGAAAGGGGATATAAAAATGCCTGTGTTCAGGAACAGACAGGACTTCTGTCAATATAGATGGGATTCAGGAAAAACAAAATTAATAAATATAGTGTGTATATATATTATGGGGGTTTTCTCTGATGCAAAACACACAGGGAATAGACAGAAAGTTGATAATGTTTATTAGTGAAAAGATTGCCTTAGTACATGTAGCCTGGTGACACGGAAATGTATATAACTAACAGCCCTTGAGATCAAAGTGATGACTCAAATATATTGTGGTATGTGAATGTCTCTGTGTGATACAAGGTTCTCAATAAGTGAAGGAAGAAAAAAAGAACAGAAAGTGTTGTCATTTTAATACTTCTTTAGAAGGGTCTTGGGCTTGAAAGGCAAACATGCCCCTGTTCATTTGATTACGATCACTGAACTTATAAGTGCTGTAGTGATAGCCACCAATATTATTAAACCATTGCTTTTGGTTTTGGCGTCTCGTCCAAACCCCATGGAAGAGATACAAAACCTACAGAGCTGGAGAGAAGTCAACAGCAGTGGGAATGAGCCCTGGGTCCTGAGGCCCTCTGGAGTTATAAAGCACTGTGCATCTTTATGGTAGTTCAGCAATGAATAATAATAGCAATGACAATAATAAATTTAATCTTTTCTTGGCTGGATGCAACTATCTCGGCATCAGCAGAACTGTGAAGCTGAGGCTTCTACATTTCATTCTAATGGTGCAGTAGAAAATGTTATCAATGTATGAAATCTGAGGAGATAACCATTTTACTGCAGGGAAAAAAATGCACTGTAATTCAGAGATGTTTCTGGACCCTTAACAAATTACTGTCGGGGCAGGGGCAGGGTTGCCTTGCTTGCTCTGCAGAAAAAGTAAAACTGAGAGTCTTAATAATCATCTTGTAGAGAAAAGTACTGCCACGTGCTCTGCACATACGTAACGTATACTTAATGTATAGGAATCCCTCACCCTTCCCCTGTTGAAATTCAGGCATCCTCTGAGATAGAGACCAGCTGCTCTGTATTTACAGACAGAAAGAATATATTTTCCTTTCAAATACACAGTATGAAATTTTGGATAGCAAGAATGAGACTATCCCAGCTGGAATTTGAACATCGCTGGCAACAGATTTGCTGTGACTCTTAACGGCTGTGATAAATTTTAGATGCTTTGGCTGCAAAAGTACATGTGTACCTAATTTATCTATGTGAGTACCATAAGTGTACTTTCAATCAAGTAATTATACTATATTATATACAGGCAGATTAGCAGTGTAAATAGACATACATAAACATGAAACCCAGAAAACAAGAAGCTCATTCAGGTAGTATGCTATAGTTTGGAACCGATAGGTTTATGTGTTCAAGCAGATTTCCTTTTCAGTATTTTCTTTCTAAAGGCTGAATGAGACTAATATGTGCACAAGCAATTGTCCTGTGCAGAGGTTTTAGTAACTTAGTTATTATACTAGTTCTGTTCTTCAGAAGAATAAGAAAGCATGCCTCCTAAGCAATTATTAATTTTTTGCCGAAGCTGTAATAATGATGTGGGACAAACTAGAATTTCTTCATGTATTTTCTTCATCTAGTTTTGCCTGACATATCCTCTAATCTCTTTATTAGCTCTTTTCATATGAAAAATGGTAGTGATATACAGACAAAGCTCGACCATTTGTGTTGCTGTGGTTTGGTTTTTTTCTTTTAGTCCTGGCTATGGAATATAATGATGTCGGTAGTTCAGAAGAGCTCATCTTGCTCTTGTCCTTTCCAGGAGGGTTCCTCTTTGTTTCCCCTAAAGTTCTGCTTGGGTTTTTTTTCTCTTTTTCTCTTCTTTCTCTTGTAGCACAAGGATGGGATCACAAAGTTCTCTGTTAATATCTTGAATATTCAGATATATACAAGAAAAACTGTTTGTGTTGCTTTGCTGGAGCAAGATTCTTTTGTCATTGCGCTCAAAAGCTTTTGCCATTATAACTTGCTTGGGTCTGTTTGTATGAAGGTATTGTGCTTACTTTTTGGAAAGCCTTGCATGCGTTGTAAGCACCTTCGTTACTGACCAACTTTAGGAAAGATGCTTCCTTCTATTTGTATTTGATGTGCTCAGGCTAAAGTTTATCTGAAGGTTGAAATGTTTGGATAAACAGAGCATCTGATGAAGGGGGAGCCAGCTGGTCTATTCAGAGAAAGTTGTGCTAGCAGTTCCTACCCAGCAATGCGATAAAACCTAACTGTGCAGACTGACTGCCCTGTTCTGAAGGTGCAAAAAAACTGTGAGTCATTTATTAGACTTCCATTAAAATGAAAAAAAAAATTAAACATTAAAAAGCTTAAATTCATTTTGACATCTGAATGATTTAAAATCCCACAATTTTAAAACAAGGGCTTACGAGGGCCTATGTTTTCTGTGTCAAATAAGAACCTATGCCTACCTCTTGGTTAACCTCTGTCATGCATGCCCTTTCTGGATATGGCTGAATGTGGAGTTGCTACCAGGAGCAGTTCAGCCTCCTCTGAACTGGTAGTGTGGGCACTGTGCTGAGGGAATGGGGCAGTGTGTCTGACTGCAAAACACGATTGGCAGAATAAGCCATTATCTCCAAGCAGGAGGGGTGTTGCAGTATTACATGAAAGCAAGATTTCGGAACATCTATCCTTGTTCACTCCAAGTCTCCCTCACTCCTTCTTCCATTTTGCCTCTTTCAAGCTAACCCATTACAACTATGTCTTCCTTTCATGAAAAATGTCAGGTGTCAAGCCTCATAACTACCTTTGCCTCTTTGTCCTCTCTTATGTGGTGAGCCTCCTTTCCAGGTCCACTTCCCTTCTTGCACATGGCATAAGTTGCTGATCAAGCAGTAAACCCAAAAGGAGCTGATTTAATTATCCATCAAGAAAGGAAGGAGTCCAGATAGTGAGAGAGGCAGCTAGAAAGACCGAAGAATCTCCTGAAATAATTTCCTGTGACTTCCCAGTGAGATGAAACCTGGACATACAGCATGTACATCTTCAGGCACCACGTGTACATCTTCCTCACCATGTGTGCAACATCCAGGTTCATGTGCCTGATTTTGATGAGCGGAGAATCAGGACTTCAAGGATTCTCACTGAATGCCCTGACCCGTTTGTCCAAACTTGGCTGGGAATTAATGCAGTGGAGGACCAAACTGTCTTCCATTATGGACTTGTGCACCTGCAGCCAGGGTGTCAGCTACAAATACGGTTAGATTTCGATTTTTATTTGAATACATTTGATTTTTAAGAGTATCTCTAGCATAGATGCCTGGATGGTACATGTGGAAGTAGAAGACAAGTAGTAACATCCGCATGAATGAAAATCCAAGGCCTCCTCTTTTTTTCCCACCTGACAAGATGTTCAGGAGGTAGGTGGTTGCCCTGATGATATGCCCTTTTGCTATGAAGAGGGTACATTTGTGTAAGGAAAGCGTAGGCAATCTGCTTCCTCAGCGACATGTTCCTGGGGCCCTCCTGCAGATGAGAGAATTTCTCTGTGCAAGACTTTGTGAATTGTTCGCATCAAGAGACATCAGGTTGCAGAGCTAATTGAAAGCAGTTTGGAATTACGTGACAAGTCAAGTCCTGGAGATAATTCAGCAAAATGTGACTTACTGTCTCAGCCCTGTTAACAGCCAGGGGACAAGCAAAAAAAAAAAACAACCAAAAAACACCAAACTGCCAGTATGTCTGATTTCATATTTCACAAGTAATAGTAGAGTTCTCTTTGTGTTGTCTGTGAGACATGAGATGAGAAGATGGCAAGGGGATGATGTTTAAGTGCCAGATCTGTTGACCATATTTCTTCGATGTCATTTCTTCCCATTGGTTTCTTGTTAAGAAGAAGTTTTCTGTAAAGTCATTTTGAAACCAGATGGGCTCTGTCAGTTTTGCAGGATAGCGAAAGCCAAAGCAAGCAGTGATCGCACTGGGGGTGAGGAGGGTCCTGTGCACCCTAGGTTAACCTCCAGTGAAGGATCTACTTTAGCATGTGACTGGCAGCGTGTGGAGGGTTAAGCAATTATCTGAGAAGGAAAACTGCTGGCCGTGGCTTTGAATGAGAGTTTTGGGCAATTGAATAGAGACATCAATCTTTCAAGCAGTTTTGCGAAGATGCTTCCCATGACGGAGTCTGTAAACTTTATCTGTGGTACAGGAGATGTCCGATACCTCATCCTGATGGTGTGCTTCATTCTGTGCAAGGCACGAGGTGATCTCCTCCCTGCAAAGGTGATAGTTTAGGAAGGGCATTAAGCACTTACTGTAATTTCTCTTCCACAGCATCTACAGTCGTTTACCTTCTCGGGAACAGGCAAGTGATGCTTTCCATGCTACTGTCCTTTCTTTTTACCTAGTATCACCATCTCCACTAGACCGCTGCATCTGATATGCTTAACTCCTTCCAGTCCAGTACTGAATGTTGCAGCCTTGCTAATGAGATTGAGATTTATGACTGTAAATCTCTAAGCCTCACTTTAAACCCTTGAACTATTGTAATGCCTCTTATCTTTTAGGAGAAATCATTGGTTACTGCTAGCATGCCTTTCATTTCAAATGAAAGAATCCTTTGAAAGTATGACTTTACTCCAAGATATGCATGTTCTTTCAAAAACTAAATTATTCTCATTTACATGTAAGTCATGAACTTGTCTATTTAAGATAGATAAGAGAAAGCAAACATGAAAACAAGCAGATCAAAGATGTACATGAGTCTTTAATCTTGTCCTTTCCCCTTGAAGAACATGCAGAAAGAACCGAGACATTTCATTAGTTTAAGTAATAATAGTGATAAAAAGAATCACAAGCAGGACATAATGGCTCTTGTCTTGCTGTATGTTATCAGTCTGTCTTTGATATATATTAAAGAAACAAATAGCTGGCAAGAAATGTTCCAACTCTCATCTGATTCCTTTATTTAAGGGAGATTGTGAGAAAAATGTACCACAGAAAAAATGTTGTATAACTACAAGATACTCCCTCGCATGTAATAATTAGTTATGCTGGAAAGTTCCTGTGTAAATCTGATACGATAGCCAAGATAGTTTTCACCTCTCTAGCCAGATCTGAAATTGCTCTCTGCTTTCAGTACTGCATGCATTTTGTCAGTCTTCCACGTCTTTCCAATCCAATAAGCTTACTCTCTGAATTTAATTTAGTGATTTTAATTGAATCTGAAGAACAAAGTGGTAATTTATTAATCGTATCTGTATGGTGATTAGGTCTCAATTGACAAACTACATCCAGCTTCCTTCCATTTTTGGCTTCATGCTCTCCAGCTGGAAACCCTTCCCACTGACAGGCCCCTCTGAACGCCGGCACAGGCGGTGTTCCCAGCTGGAAAAGTTCAATGTCTTCTGAATCACCAAAGACTCCGAAGTCCCCATCCTGTCTAACAACACATGGCTAGAAACATGGATGGGGAGGGGAGGGGAGGTGAAGAGAAGAGTTTAAGTCATTTATTGGTGGCAAATTGAGATGCACTGTGTCATGAACTGTTGTAAAAGTGACAAGACGATATCGGAGTAGGTGTTGCTGCATGAAACTGTACAAGAAAGGCATGAAAAAACTGGAGAGAGCCCAGAGGAGGCTCACTAGGATGGTGTTGGGGACAGGAGCACACAACATCCGAGGAGAGGCAGAGGGAGCTCGGTTTGCTAAGCCAGGAGGGGAGCAGAGGAGGAGGGAGGGCTCCGCTCGCAGCCTTCAGCTGCAAAACGGGTGGTCGGAGAAGAGGCAGAGTCAGACTCTTCTCGGAGGTACGCAGCGAAAGGACAAGGGTAATGGTCACAAATTACAAGGGAAATTCCATTTGTATGTTTTTTTTAAAAAAAAAAAAAAAAGACTGCGAGAGTGGTTAAGCACTGGAACAAATTATCCACAGAGGTTGTGAAATCTCCCTTCCTGGAGATATTCAAAACTTGACTGGACACAGCTCTGACTTTGAAGTTGACCCAACCTTGAGCAGGGGGTGGGAGTACATGACCTCTCAAAGCCCTTTCCAGCCTGTGAGTCTGTCTCCAGATCGCCTGGTTGTTGGGTTAGCACAAGTGAGCAGCAAAGCCCTTGGAGCACTGATAGAGGCACAAGCTGAGTAGCAGGGGCTGCGGAGGTAGCTCTGCTGGGCAGCGATCGTATGAACTGCCCCATAACGTTCTCGACCTCTTGCAAGAGGCAAGCGTCTGCATCATCACCGTTTGAGTACAGGGTGTTTTGCGTCAGGCTGTTACTACATACTTTAATCCTGAGTGGCTGTGACCCTGCCAGCACGGTAACTGTTTTGGAAATACGGGAGAACGCTCAGAAACATCACGTGGTAAGCAATTCATGGTCCACTGGAGGGAAAGATAGAAGGGCCAAGAACACGCAAATGGTTATGTATGGATAGGATGTTACTGCAGGACTATATAGTACTTTACCTGTAAGAAACTGCAGATACTTTCGCCTCATTTTTATATCTTGCATTGCTCCTATAAAGTAGGCGACTCTGTGTTGCAGGAAAAGAGAACAGCAGAGAAGATTTTTCATATTTTTTGTGGTTAACAAATTAGCAGCTCACTTTCAGCACTTATATCTTGCTGAAGATCATGAACTAGTTCTGGAACAACATAAGAATAAAGACCTTCTGAATCTTAAGTCCAGTGTTCACTCTGCTTACTAGCCCAGGCCTCGTTTAATAATGTATTTTTTACAAGTGTCATTAAAAAAAGAGAAGGAAGATGTAGGATACCCAAATAGTGGACTTGTTACATACATTGCTACTCCCTGGAGTAGTCAAGGTGCTGTAGTGTAACATTGTGATGGACTGACGTGCAGTCTTCACTGGAACTGCATTAGAGTAGCTTTGCTCATCAGCTGTGGGTTACCAGCAAGCCTAGAATACCTACTGTGCCCTTATTGTGAATAACAGTATGACTGACCTCATCTGTTTATATTTATACAGCACTGTCCTGTTTCGTGTACAGTCACTTCAGATTATTAAGAAGCTTGGGGAGAAAAGGTGATGATTTCTGCATGAAGAGATACGTTTTGCTTAAGAGCAAATTTTGTCTTACAGCGCCGACTTGGAGATGCTGCAAAGAAAGCAATCAGCAAGCTACAAGTCAGAACAATCAGGAAAGGTGATAAGGTAATTCTTCAAATTGCTCATTACCAAATGAAACTCTGTGCTGAGGATTCCTTCAGAGCACTGGGACAACGAAGCAGAACAGAAATGGCAATTGCTTATTTAGCTACTATGTGTCCTTCAGGCAGGGGAGGAATACTGGGAAGCAATTTATGGATGGAATGGAATAGAGAAAGAAGAAGGTGACTCTGTGAAGATACAGAAAATACTGAAAGATAAAAGATGCTTACTAAATCTGCATGCTTCCAAGGGCAAGTTTCCAGCTGAAAATGTGTTGGAAAACATGACTTGCTTGTCTTGAAATGCATTATTGGATTTGCAGCATGCATCAATGACCATTTTACTTTGTCACATGGGCTCTTGTATGAAGAAATTAGCTGACAAAATCAAAATATTAAAATGATGAATATTCTCTTTCCTGTAGGAAACTGAGCCAGACTTTGATAACTGTGCTGTTTGTATTGAAGGCTACAAGCCCAATGATGTTGTCAGAATTTTGCCTTGCAGGTAAGTTGAAGGTACTTTTAGCTCTGATAGTCTCTCTACTTCAAGACAGGCTCTATTCTCACAGTCGCACACTGATGAGATTACCTGAGAGCTTGGGGACGGAACGGTGAGTTTATCTTTTTGATTTGTTCAAAATCTGCTGGTAAAGATATTTGAAATGCTTCTTTATTCAACTTGAAGTGAAAGTAGTATTAACGGTGGTGAGAACCTGAGTTTAGCATGATAGTCAGAAATTTTGTCTGATCTGGACCTATTACAAAGTCTTCAGTAGGATTTTTAAACTAAAGGTGTTGATTCCTCTATTTTCCTCACTAGTTTTATATCAGTCCAGAATAAGTGCCTTAGAAAAATTTGCCTCTGACTTCAAGGTGAGCACTGGGCACAGCAGCCAGGGAATAGAGCCGGCTCCTGCTCCTCATGGACCTACCTCTTTTGCTGTCCTGAGCCACGTCCAGGCGCTGAGAAAGGGATGACTTCTATCAAAACAAACCACAGCCGAAAAAAGAGATATGCTGAGTAGAAACAGTAAAGCAAAAAGGGAATGTGAGAAAGACCACATTATCTATTGCTACCATGAAAATATTCTTAGGCATGTGGGACATAGAGGTGACAAGAAGAGCTTTTGGGCTTATTCTTTCACTTTTCTTCCCCTCTTGTGAACGTGCCCTGTGCAGCACGTACCCTCGCAGTGATGTGACGCAGGAGCGCAGCCTCTTGCCATCCATAACAGCTGTATTCATCTCTCTGTGCCGTTGTATTGTCATCTGTGAAGTGTTAGGTAATGAAATTTCTTAGGAAATTTCCTAGGAACAGTGGTTCCCTTAGGAGAGCAAGAACAAGTATTTGACTCCCCTAGAAACAGGAATCTCAAGTACTGTACATTCAGAACTGAGATTTTTTTTTTATTTTTATTAGAGTTTGTTTCTTCTCCTGAAGGCACCTTCACTGGCTTGAGAAACTGAAATATTTGCTTCTTTTCCTGCTATGTTTTTCCCTAGTAGATACTTGAATGTTACAAGCTGTCCATTTCTGTTAGTTCATGTGACTCATTAAATCTGCTTACTGCCATCACTAAATGGCAAACAAAAAGCAACAGATTAATCATAAATTTGACCTACTGTAAATCCCCCACAATGACAAATTGCATGTGAACTCTTTTTTTTTCTACGAACAGACACAAACCCATCACTTCATGGAGCAGAGACACAGAAAAATGAGAAATTACCAGAAAGTGTGGACCTTGGTTTGACATCAAGCCTGTTTTCATGGAAGCATAATAAAGCTTGGAAATTTTGCATGCTAGAAACAGGCAGTCTTTGGAGGTAGTTATACAACGGCAAAAAATATGTCTAAGATCTAGCTTTCACTTCTGTCTCACCTCATAATTCAGTGAGGCTCCAGTCAGACTTTGTCATCCACGGTGTTGAGTCAAGCAGAGTGAATAGGAAACACATAGTTAACAGGTGATGTTCAGTTCTTGGCTGACTTAAAAGGTCGCCTAGAAAATGACTCATGCTAAAAGGGTAGCAGCAGCAGAACTGTCTTGTAAAATACTCACAGTTTGAGCCTCAGCGGTTTTGAATTATAAAAACTCGAAGATATTTCTCAAGCAGCTACTTCACAAATCCTGGCTTTCTTGCTACACAAATTGTCAGGGCAGTTATTTTACACATTCGCATGGGTTTGGATTTCCAAAACAGGAAATAGTAGTCATGTTTCTTTCTGCTGTTGTCAGTCTCATCTCCTCATCCAAAAAAAAAAAAAAAAAGGATTAATTTCTGTCTCTGTTAAGTGAGTAGGAGAGTGTTATATCTTGATAAAGACCTACAGACTCTGTAGTTTCTTCTTCCAGCATCCTCAGTTAAATTGTGTGTGGTTTCTAGTATGGGAACCTCATTAGACTGCTGTTTAATAAAGGGCTGGCATTTCGCCGAGCCTTACAGAAGCCAGCACCATATGACATCGGTGCTGGCTGACCTTAGTGTTTCTATCCAGGAGGTGCTCAAGATGTAGAATTTGTTACCTGCAAAGCCGAATACGCCCCAAGAGCTGCACATGAAAGATGCTGCTTTGTACTGCAGGCAGTACTGGGAAAACCACTTCTAGCAGGCACACACTGTATAAAGCCCTGTATATCTTCAGATTTTTTTTTTAAAGGCTGCTGGAGCTTGAATCTCCGAAGAAATTGGTACCAAAAATCCACCAGCCAGTAATGCAGTGGATGAGCTCTAAAGTCGTACAGATACATGTTTACTAGTACTTACGATGTTTCCCCGAATGTCTTTTTTCTGCTAGCAGAGAGCCGGGGCTGGGATAGCCTGTTGTTACATATCCCACTCTGGAGAGCTAGGACAAGAATTCCAGTTAACTTGTGCTTCTTCCTCTCTGTCCTCTTTAGCCAGCTCCCACAACTGACTGTATTAATAAACTTCACTCTACAGAATGTATTAAATAAATAAGGACTGACACTTGATTAAGAAAAAAGTGTTGGCTTGCAGCTGGTTTTATGCTTAATGGTAGCAACCATTGTTAAAGTTATCTTTGAGAGCATTGACACAGCATCAAATGTAACCAAGTTCATTGTTCCCAGAGCGGCATCGCTTATCATAGCCCTAGTTCCTTCTGCTTGTCCTCCATCTCTAGCTTCAAAACGCCTTTGTCTTTTCTGCTCTGGCTTTGGAGAAGTTACTGGTGCTGCTGCTCCTGATGTGTGCCTTTTTACTGAACTTTTACTAAACTTCTGCAGAGAGGCAAGACAGTTCTTTCAACCTCATCTCTACTGAGTTCTTCATAAGCTCTTTTTTTGGTTGTTTCATTTCTGTCACCAATAAACGTGCTTTCTGAGCCCATTGCAACTCATTCCCCTCCCCTGAACCTTCACTTCATGCACAACTGTGATTTCAGAGACTGCTTCACTCCTCCTTTCTTTTCATTAGCTTGCTGTGAAAATTATTTCATCACTTCTTCCCTTTGATTCCTTCCTCTCACTGACCCTCATCATCATCTTCTTTTGTCCTTCCTTCTTCCTCTAAAATAAATAATACTGTACATGCACCCCCAAAAGCCCCAGCCATCTCGTTGGATACTACAGTGCTGCTCAGTTGCTCACCAAAACCCCTCTCAATCCTCTGCTTTGGCCCTGTGCCTAATCCATGTAACTGATGCTCTTACTCAGGGTCCCTAGGGATGTACCTCTTTCTACTTTTGCCTCCTTTTCCCTGAGCTCGTGCTTTTCTTCTGAGAAAAATTATATGACTGCGAGGTTGGTTTGCATGCAGTTTGGAAAGTTGGGACTAGGAGTACAAGGTGGGAGGAGAACAATTTCCCTTAACCTGGAAAAAAAAGCTTCTTAAAATTGTTGGCAAGCTGGAAGCTTTACAATAGTTTTACAACAATCAAATTATACCTATAATTTTAGGCTAAACCCAAAATGGAATTTTTTTTTCTTGTATGATTAAAATTGCAGCTTTAAAGAAAATTTAAATATATTTCAAACAAAAGTAATCTTCAAATAAAAAATACGAAGTGCTATTTAGATAATAGTAAATGAAATGCTCTGGGATTTTGACATTCTTTTTCTTTCTTTGTGCTCTGTGAGCTTTACACAACCACGTGCAGTCGCAGAAGAGTGCAGGAGGGATCCCAGGAGGCCACCGCCTCCGGAATGGCACAGGGGAACTGGCCGTGCACATGTCATTCTTGGGAGTTTTTTCCAACACACTCTGCAGTCTCCCAGGATGAAGACTCTGCAAATTCCCATGATAATTTATTACAGTTCTTCACTACCAACTGTGGTGAAGCTTCTCCTGTTGTGTAACCTCGCTTGCTGCGATTTAAACACATCATTGTGTCTCTTGTCCCTAGGAGAGGTGAAGAACAGTTGTTTCCATTGTCCTTATGGAAGCCTTTGTTTTATATGAGGATTGTTATGACATCTCCTCTCCTCTTGCCTTCCTCTCTCTCATCTAATCAATTACAGTTCTTTTGAGAAACTTTTCAACCCATCCAAATCAACAGAGTTTCGCATTGCTGTGGTTGCACACAACAAAAAAAACATTTCTTTTTTTTTTTTCTAGCTCGGACTTTGATTGTCAAAGCCATGTCTCGAGCCTGTGCTTGAAAAATCTCTCTTAACTGTCTCCCTGACTGGGTCATTACTTCTGAACTCAGCCATGATGCCTCGACCCTCTCCTTCCTTTTAAAACTTGCATCAGTCAGACCTGCAGAGGCAGAGGGAGTTTTGTTGCAGTTGATCTTTTTACATCTTTGTCTTACCATGTGACAGTGAAATACTGCAATTGCACGCTCATCTTACTTTGTGCTGACCCTTATTTTGCCCAAATTTGGATGATAAACTTGTCAGGACATCAAACAATTGTCAATTTGTTGAAAGCTACAAACATGTATGTAGTGCCGTAGCTAATAAAGAATAAAATAAACTTTCAAATCCAAATCTGCAAAGCCTGCCACCTCACTTCTCTGCACAAATGTTTACATGTTCTAAGATAGATATTATGAGCTCTCTAATTATATCATGTGGCTCAAAAATTAAAAAATGCAAATCTTTATCTGATTTTCAATAACATTCCATTTTTCTGCAGATTTCTGTCAAATAATCAAGTTCCTTCTGTTGTACATATTGTGAAATTAGTAGAGCCATAATACACTGTGCTAATTTAGTATTGAGAAGTGCAAAGTGACGTGATCTGTCATGTATTTAAATTGCTCAGCACTGATAGGATTTCTTTTAGAATATTTTTTTTTGAAGCTAACTTTAGGAACACTAAACTTCAGTTTTTAAAGTCTTTAAGGCATAAAAGTTCCAAGCTTTTGGTAGTTAACAAATATTATGAAATGCTGTAATATGAACCACAGCTTGACTGAGGCTTGCAGAGCTTGAACTTGAAAACAAAAGGAGACTTTCTAATCTGGTAAAATGGCTTGATAGAAGTCACGTATTTTTTATCCGAAACAGATTTTGGAAATCTTTTTCAAGAGAATAAT